TTTCCCATTGAATCATCGTATCAAGGCTCTCATACGAGAGCCGGAAGGAGCGGGAGACGGGACGGGAAAAGAGACGGGGAGGGAGACTGGGGAAGGAATGGGCAAAGGGACGTCTGCAAAGACGGGATGGTAGACGGGGAAATCAATGAATTTGACGCGGATACGGACGGAACAACGACGAAAAATCTACACTCTATCATTACACCAATATGTTCATCATCATGCGCATCATACACTTCACTCAACCTATTCCATGCGGCAGCAACGCGACGCTGGGCCCGGCTACTTGAGTATACGATATACCGATTTGATTAATAATACTGAGACCAGTTCTATTCGTTCTAATCTTCCGTATCCGATTGTCAGATCTATTCGTTCGTACGTGGTTCACGTGGGAATAGGTTTGGTTCCCAACCAAACCCGCCCGAAATTTTTTTTTCTGGCGTGATTATCCTGATAGGACGGCGATGTTGCAGGTAGCTAAAGCAATCAGTTTGAAAAGCAGACAGATTGCATGCGACGCCGGGAACCTTCGCGATGCGAACACGGAGGGAATTAGCGTGTACATCGAGCCTGTCCGGTATTTTTAGCGCTCTCGGCGATACACGGCGTGGAAAAGTGTGTACCACGAGGAGCCGTTTGGTCATATTACTTTGACACCAATCTCTAATGAGGCTCTATTCAGCTATTCGCCTCCGCCACCGATGCGCTGCCGCTATCGCAGACGAGTCCTGTTGATAATTGTTGGCAACAGGACGCGGGACATCCTATCGAGATGTTAAGGTTGGCAGGCTGATCGAGGGACCGATGTTCATTCATGTTCGTGAGACGTTCCCTCTCAGCATCGAAGGCGAAGATTTGCCGGAAAAATCAGATGCGGGGAACCTCTCTCTAGACCAGCTGATCCGACCCGGCATCATCTATCGAACTGCTCTCGAACGTTGCTTATCGAAACTTTTAGTCAAGCTCGTGCCACGATGGTTTTTGCTTGTGATACCGAACGCAGTCCCGTAACGAGTCCGTGTACTGCATGGAGTTCACCATATTAGGCAGCGTACGAACTCGGGTCGCGGTACGAGCGGCAGATTAGATCGAGATTAGGGGATTGATCGCAGCAGTAGCGAGGGTACACAAGAAGCCCGTGGTTCATGCTCAGGACTGGATAGACAGCCGGTTTCATGGGTAAATCGAGATATCGATGCGAAAAAACGGGACTCGGGTCCAATATCCATTCCAGTTTCCGGGCTCAGAGACGTGCATTCCATCGCTTAGAAAAATAAGAATTCAATGACGAAAAGTCCCGGAATCTCGATCACGAAATGAGTGCCCGGTCATGACCACTACCATAATATTATGGGGAATAAGAATGATAGTGATAATAATAAAATAATTGTAATCGAATCCATCCATAGAAATCGGTAGGTACATCGCTGTCCGGTTCTCCTCAGCCGGGTGAGACTCTCCCCAGATTTGAACTCTTTGCGAGCGACGTCGCGAGGCTATTTTTGAACGTATTCCTCGAATGTTCGTTGACCCTATATATTTTTATCTATATGTACGTATACATATGTACACGTAAATTAAACATTGTTGTAGCATTATCTGTATCAGCGGAGTGTCCGCGAATCGCGCCAAAGCTCCACGGGATCTGGACTGGTGCAGCTCACGGATGGAAACGCGTTTCGTGTTTCATTCGTTCGTTTCGCAGCTTGTAGCGGATTCGAATTCAGAAACCGTTCAGGTGGCTGGCAGATATTGGCTATTGTTTACTCCCTCTGACTGAGCGAAATGCTCCTTCAAAGTATCGATTCAAGCTGCTACATTGCTGTGAGCAACGGGAAAAAATGGGCTCCGAACGTTCAGCGTTAGAATGTTTCGAGGAGACAACGCAAGACGAATGCGAGGGCGACGGGAGGAAGAGACAGTAGCGCTCGTCGAAAGCCCATACGCGTTGCAGAGCCCGGATGGGGTGCAGACTCCACGTTGCGTTATTGTCCGTTTCGTTTCGATTTCATCTACTGAGTGAGAGTAATCGAGCTCAACAACTTTCGGTACGCAAGCAGCATTGCCGACCTTCTCCATCAACTCAGACCTCTGGGCCTTCGAACCCCTGCTCGGTGTTGCTCGTTTTTCTACGAGCCCTCGATAACAGTTTGTGCTCGTTAACCCTCGCGCCGGGTGTCACCTCTTCCGGGACAGTATTGCTCCGCTGAGCTAGCTGAGCGGAACGATCTTTTGTCGGGACGACCCCTCTCGTTCCCCGAAGCGCATCGTGGTTTTTGCATCAATTTCCTGACCAGCTTTCAACTGTGCGTTTCAGGTGTTTTTAAGCCGAGTCTGATGGGATCCTCCGTCACTCTCATCCTCCGGGAACCTGAAGTTCGAACCCCGTGCATGACACTTCGCTCCCTGGGGCTTCTCCTCCAACAATCGGATAATCGATAGTTTTTTTTCAACTTGTTCCGATGCACCGACCGGGCACGGCTGATCGATCTCCCCTTTGCAGTCGAACGGCCGGTTGCCGGCGAGCGATTTCGCGGGCAGTTTGAACATTCGTTCGATCGTACGTTAGGTTCATGATTTCGAATTTTCGCGAATTTTCTCCAGCCTGTCAGGTGTGGCGTCGCGCGGATGGAGTCGGAGAAATTCTTCAGTTATCGGGCCGAGTCAGTAGCGAACGTCGCGGCTTTCTGCTTCGGCGGTCTTTTTCCTCGGAGCGAACCCACGACCGGAATGTCAATGGAAAGCTTGATGAATGAGGCGAAACGATACACTTTGTACCTTCTTATGTTTGCCGGAGACATCGAATGGTATTTCTCGGAAGTCGCAGAATCTTCACCACTTCTCTCTTCAACTTCAACTTCAAGGCGGACGCAAGTCAGACTGTGGCAGTCAGAGCGTGAACGTGAAGCACAACAGACGCTAGAGATGGGTTTTCCGAGAGGATGTTTCAAAGCAACGGAGGGTACAACGCGAGGCTTTACGATGGTCTTGGGAGATTGGTCTCAGGTAGGAGGCTGGCCACTTGAAAAATAGGTAAGTTCCCCAAACGGTGGAAGGACGCAACCATTCCCGCTTCCACCTCGTCATTCCCCCGTTTCCCGAAGCGTAACTATTAGCCGAATGAATGCTCTGTACGTTCGCGTGTCTTCATTTGTTTCCATTGAAAAACACTTGGCCCTATAGGAGTGCTTTTTGAGTTCTCATACCTCTTCGGAGAGACTTCTGAACAATTTGAGCGTTCCGATTCGGAGCTATTCCCTCTTTTTGCTCATCCAGCCGGAGTTCCATCGCACGGCGAGGCATCGTCCGCGGATGAATTCTCTGTACGATGTTCCACGATTCTGGGAGCGTGCATCCAGCGGCCTGGAAGACGAAGCTCGCCGAACTCGGAACATATTCTGCTCTTACAGTTCCTCCGGAAAGCCCCTTTTGATTCCAGCGTCCGTCTTGTTAACGCTGGGCAGAGAGTGTTCTCGTTTCGGATATTTGAAGTACAGGTATCGAGAGGAAGCGCAGCAACAGCCGCCGGTCGCGGCTTTCTTCGTCGACAGTGCTCGATAGGAACCGGGGACGATGAGAAGAATTCTCCGCCGCGGTCCCTTTGGTCTTTGCAATATTCGTCTTATTTCTTAATAATTACATCGTCCGCATGAATGAACACCGACTCGTCCCCGGATAGCGAAAGCCCATCTGCCGGATAGCGAAGGGGGACTGCACGGGAAAAGCGAAAGAAAGAGAGAGAGCGAATGAAGCCATATTCATTTTTTCAGCTATAAAATTTCCGCGCACTTTTAATATCGTCTCCCGTCTTGCGTGCCGCTTCGCGTGCTCTCAAGTGCTGTGGGGTGGCGATGCCGGGGAA